GAAAGGTAGCACAAATCTTCAACAGTACTACTATAAAGGCTAAACATAAAAAACAGATATTAATATAGAAGGAATCAGGCAAACAAGAACCTTAAATAAGAGGTACTACCAACTAGGCTATTGAAAGTCTTAAACTAGAGAAAAAGGACCTTAAAAGGCAGACCTTAGAGTACTAGGAACAGGTCATAGTTTTACTGAGCTATCTGAATTGTGAGTTTGAGTTTGAAAGCAGAAGTATACTACAAGTATTAGAAATATGCTATGAAGTTGGTGCTGGGATCTGAGTAAATTCTGCAAGAGCAAGCCCTGTTAACAAAAGACTAAATGTGATTAGTTAATTAGCAGAAGGGTCTTCTAAAGCTCTACAGTTAGATAACATATCCTGAAATATGTAATGACTTAATGAATGTATAGACAGAAAGGTTATAGTTAGTTAAATGACACTTAGATATATAAGAACTTGTATGCTATTTGTTAGTATAAGTATAGAGATCAAAGTGTTTAAATAGGTAATCACCTAGTAGATTGCAAATATGGCAGCTAGTGTAGAATCTGCTATAAAATGAACTACTTAAAATAAACAATCAAAAGTTGTATATGTGCCTAGTTGTATACTTATCTTGTACAAGTTATGTAATCATAATTAAAATACAATAAAGACAATAGCTACTGATAATTACAGCCTTAGGATAAATAAAAAAAAAATTAGATAATAATTAAAGTTATATGAGTAACTAGTTATACACTCTTTTTATAATTGCTCTCTGTAGTTGTAATACAACTATTAGCCAAATATATTATCAATAAAATCCTGAATCACAAGTACTCATCTTAATATTTTAAAAAAAAAAACTTAGACTAACACTTGTAGTTAAGATTAATTATTAAACTGCTATACTTTTATAAAGTTTATTTTATTTTATTTTTTTTATAGTTAAAGTTTCTATCTTGGAGATGTAATATTTTTATTCAAGTATTATAAGACATGGTATGCTTCCAGAAGCTATCTATACATTGGAGGTTACAACTAGTCACATGTGTACTTTTGGTGCTTAATTTAAGTAGTTCACTTATATATTGCTATATAAGTTTTATACTAGTTGCCATATTTGCAAGCCAACTAAGAGCTTGCTTATTTAAATCCTCTGCATATGCAATCCTCTTTGTATCATAAGAACATCTTTAAGGTTACACTTATCCAAGTTCCTGATGCTAGTTGTTACCCTTAGGACTACCTTATTCTTGATAGAAAACTTACTAAAGCCTTTATGTTCTATATATATAGACCTAGTTTTATGCAACATGCTATAGTTACCTAATATTTGTAATCACAGAGGTTATCTGTTTAACTACTATGTTATACTATTTTTACCTTTGTAAAGTTTACTAGAACTCCAGTACCTATCTTATTAGCATCTTCTCCATCATCTCCTATTAGCTGCAACTTGGAACTAACAGTCTTTTTCAAATTACTAATTCAGATGGCCTAGTATAGTATATTTCTGTATTCTTTTTTTTCAGTGAATCTGGCAGCCTAGTTGGTTATATGCTCTTCTACATATATTTGATGTCCAGTTTAATCTTCAGTTTCTATGAAGATGTTTCATGAGCTTTAACTGGTCTGATAATATCATTAAAAGTTCATATTACCTCTTTATTCAGAAATTTTCAAATAGGTTTTCATTGTCTTGATTCTTTAGTCTTCTATATCCAGTAGTCTTATTATGGGTTTGCATCGAAGTTTTATGCAACACTGGTTATACATTCCTCTATATATGTGTAACATTATATTCTGCATAGATGCCCTGAACTTCCAATATTGGTAGAACCTGATTTGGTGTATCTGGGTTACAGCTACATGAGGCCAACTAATCGATAGAAGACAGTTATCATAATACAGATATAATTTCCAAATTTTATTATAGATAAAATTTGAACCTTAGACCTGTCACTTGAAAGATGACAATCCAACCACTACACTAGGATCATCATCCTTTTTTTATAAAGTTTATTCAAACATAATACTTATATTTTTAATATATTTTTTATTATTTTTTTACTAATTATAATTTAGAACTGATAAAATTTTCTAGATTATTTTTTTTTTTTGAAGTTTGATAATACTGTCAGTTAGTTTATTTTGCTTAATTTTTATAGTACAATTATAGTTATAGGATCATTTAGTACTAAATAGCTATTCTAAGCTATTCTAATTCTATTCTACTGATTTTACTCAGTTATCTATATCAGTATTGTTATAGGACAGCTCTGGACAATTGTAGACAATTTTGAACAAAAAAACAAATCTAAATTATTTAAAATTTTATTAAAATAATCTATTTTAAATTTTAAATAAAAATATTCAGAACTATAAAAAATATATAATTATATCTTTTTTAAACTAATTTATTAAATTTTAAAGTTTAAAAATTCTTTAAACAATTGTAGATAGTATGGCATTTGAACATAAACAAAGGCAAAAAAAAGTCTTAGACATAGTAAACATAACAATACTAATCTATATAATAACTAAGTATGTGTTTACTGCATGCCTGTATACAGTTACCTTTAGTTATCATTTGCAATCAAAGTATACTATTAAACTACTACAAAGACAAGAATACTTTCATAACTTAATATAATATTTTAATATTAAGAATACTATCTTTTATAATCATATCTATGTGTTTTATTTATATATTTTACCTAGTTTTGTTTTTTTTGTCTTCTAATCTAATTATATCTAATAATATCTTGTTTTTCATATTTCTTATCTTTTTGTCACTATATCATTTTCAAATTGGTTCTACTCAGATATATCTGATCCTTATGATCTTCATCTTTAATATGCCTATTATTGTTTTCTCTAAGATTTTCTGACAATGATCTAGGATCTGCAATGAACTTGTATTTTAAGTCAGACCTGCTGCTGCTATTAGTTTTTTTGACTAATTTGTATTTTAAGCAAGGTTTATCGTTATTATTCTTGCAAATATCTTAGGTCTTAATATAATATAGTAACTCAGTGCTACATATTACTTTTAATATGATGCTTCCTTCTATAGTAAAAACTGAAACTTATTATACTCACAATTAGAACAATTCTGATTATATTTAAAAAGTTCCTTTAATCTTAGTGATATTATACTACTATATATTGCAAGCTTCCTGCTTATTTAATAATACTTGTAAGACAATTCTGGTTATGTTCTAGGAATTAAACTGATCCTAGTGATGCTATACTACCTTATAAATTTTATTTCATATTGGTTAGTTGATCTCAGTTTTGTTTGTTATAAACTTCTATATAAGTATAATCAGAACCCAATTTTGTGTTTTTATTTTGTACAAGAAAGTTATATGTCAACCTTCAAAATTTTTCTTTTTATAATTAAATTATTTAGCTATGCTAAAGTTGCTTTTAATTTTAGTTAAACCAATTCTTTATTACAGGCTATTCTTATGTTTATTACTTCTTTTACCATTCCAGTTATGATTATTTTCAGATTATTATCCCAATTAAATCCTCTTCTTAAATTCTAATTAGGACTTATTCACACAATCTGTTGATTATTCTTTTAAGCAAGTATCTTACAAGTTGGGTGCAAAGATGTTTGTACTGCCTATATTAGGTAGTATAAGGATGTTTGTGCTACCTTAGTCTTAAAAACTTATATGCATAATCTTTTTATATAACCTTCTGTAACATTGCTATTACATATGCTTACACTCTATAATTGGATTTCTTTTTAGAAATTTTTTTATTCTAAATTCATATCTGTACTTGAACTTTTTCTACAAAGTTTTGCATTCGATTAATGGCTTTAATAAGTTACAGAAACAAATTTTGTTTCCAATCAGACTTGAACTATTAACCTTGTTTGTAAAGAGTTTAGAAACTTATTACTAAGTTATAAGACCTAAAACCAATTTTCTGGACTATCAATTTAAATAATCTAATATAATATATTTATATATTCTTTTTTTTTAGTAATTTTAACAATTTAATTAATATATATACTTCTTTTATATATCTGTTATTCAGTTTATTTATTTATCTTTTTAAAAATATTTATAAACTTCTATTGATCTAATAATATTATTAAAAATTTGTGTTATATTTTTATTTAAAATTTTCAAATAGACTTTTTATCTTTACAGTTTTTTAATTTACTATATGCAATAGTTTTGTTAAAAAGTTATATCAAAATTTTATGCAATACCAGTTTTAATATTTTTTTATATATGTATAATATACATTTCATATAAATGTTTTGAGTTTCCAATATTAAGTAAGACCTAACTTAATGCACCTAAAATTACAAATACATAAATCCAACTGATTAATGAAAAATAATTATTATAACAAATATAATTTTCAAAATTTATCATTTATGAAATTTGAATACTAAACCTGTCACTTAAAAGTTGATAACTTGCTTACTTTACTAAATTGTCATATTTTTATTTTACAATTTTTATTTAAGATTTAAAAATTATTTATTTAATATTTTTTCAAACCAATTAAATATAAAAAAAATTTGCAACCAATTATATATAAAAATAATTAATGTTGTACTTTATCCTTAAAGATACATTTTCAAAATTTGAATATTTAATATAAAAATTTTTTTATCCAATTAGAATTAGTATATAATGCATTGTAATTAATTAAAAGCATTTGTATATATCAAATTTGGTGTATTTAATATGAAGTACAAAAATTTTTATATAACTCTTTATAAGCACATTTTCAAAAAAAAAACTTTATGAATTTTTTGGTATAATTATAAAAAGGTCTGACTGTACATATTAAAATAATAAAAAACCTTGTTTGTTAGTACATTTATTGTTTATTATAAAACTAGATTCATTATAGATCAATCACAAATATAGATTTACTTAAATGATGAAAAAAAAAACCTATATACATAATGGCCCAAGCAAGTCCAAAATTGCTTATAAATAGTAACTTATATGATAAGATATGCGAAAGTGCTTTACAAGTATCTAACTTCATCAATACCTAGACTTCTCCTTACTTGTACAATAGCGACTAATTCTTTAATAGCTTCCTCTAGAATAACTACATTGTTGAGAAGCGTACTTAAAGTGATTTCTTTTGGTTTTGTTTCCTTCTGCCTGGTTTTAGTCGATTTTTTGGTTGATGAACCATCTTCTTCATCTTCATCGAGTGGGTCAACTTGATCATCTTCCTCATCTTCATTGACAAAATGTGCAGGGAATAGAGGCTGAATTTTGATGGTTTCTGTTTTTTGGAAGTGCGTTGAAAATGGAGTGGTAATGTTCGAAGATGTAATAGTCGAAGACCTGAAAGTTAAGGAACCGATCTGCGAATTTAAATTGGAGTTTGATTCGGCTCTTTTTGGTGTTTTATGTCCTGTCATTTTTCGATTTTTTGTATTGGTATTAGTCGTGATGCCAGAACCTGAATGGTTAGAAGTACTGCTTCTTCTAGTAGGTGTGCGTGATGGATTATGGGGCTGCTTAAAGAAATTTTCATCAATTTCGTCATCAGCATCCAACAGGCCACCCCTCCTTTCTTTTAGATATTGATCAAACCCTTCAATTTCACTGCGGTAGTAATCGACTTGTTGTGTCAATGTTTTAAATATAGTGAAAAATTGAGGGTAACTAGTCCATCTCGGAGTAGCACCGATAGCCTTCGTTGCCGATGGACATTTGTCGGCGTCAAAATCAATTGAACGATCATCATCTTCATCAAATTCGTTAATAGGTTTGTCATCTCCTTCAGCAACAGCATTATTTTCATTGTTAGATATTCCGAGCGGTATTTCTGGATTTTTTGCACCAGGCTGTAGATTTTCGAAGTCTCTTATATGAGAATCTCGCCGGATATCTCGCCGACTATCTAATCTATCAGTGCCGCTAAATACAAGCCAACCTTCAAGCGATCTATAAGGGCAAACAGCCAGGGCGGAAAGAACACCAGTCAGAACTAAGTTTAACTCTGGTGAATGGGCAAAGAAATTCGTTAAAGTTCCAAGGAGAATTTGTAAGAGCGAATCACCCGGATTTAATCGATCGGTCGGGTTTAGACGATGCTTAGGAACTGCCGACATGCCTTTGGATGCACCCTTTTTGCCATTTTTGCCTTGGCTATAAGTCAAGAATCGTTGTCTACAGGATTTCTTTGAATTTGGTCTAGTGGGACCATCTTCAGTCCATTCTACATCCAGGCCATTTATATAACACGGATCCGCCTCTATAATCATTTCTGCATCACGTACATAGGAATCATATCCATTCGTAAAAATTTCCATGTTTTGAGGAGTTGGATCAATGGCAGCTATTAAGGAAAAGAAGAGGTCAAGTTCTTTCAAATGATGACTAATTGTTGTTAATTTTGGTTGAGCAAAACTTGATCCATGTGTCTCGTTACAAGAATCTTCGTATAGGTAATTTGGTCTAGGAAAGCATGTAGCATTCTCGTCCAATTCTATGTTCAATAATTTTAAAGAATATCGACAATGTTTAGAGATAACGGTATGAAGAAGTTTTAAAGTCGCAATGACGGTTTGTTGAGATGAGGATCGCAAACGTGAAAACATTAAATCCTTTAAAGTAAACCGACCGATTGCTGTGAAATAGGGTGGAGACTTTTTCGTATTAGAATCAATACCCTCGAACAGATTTATTGTACTTTGACGTTTTGCAATTTTATTGGCAATCGGTTGTTTCCAGAAGTCTTCATCATCACCGTCAGAATCCATTAAAAAACCTACCACCACGTCAACTAATTCTTCTTGCTCCAATGTCTGCATGATAATATCAATATAAGAAATAACCGCAACGGCGGAACCATCCGTATCAGAACATTCCAAAATTGACGGATATAAAATATTTTCAAGAAAAATATTTTTAACATTTTGAAGTAAAGCTAAAGTTATATCCACATTTGGACATATATTTAATACGTCCTGACAAAATTCCAGTAACTTCAAAAATGAATCAAGTTGATTTTTGAATACGCGCGAAGAAGAAACTTCAATTCCATTCGAAGCCAGTCTCTCTAACTCAGCGCTTGTATTATCACCACCGAATCCTAATAAAGTGGCATTAGTCAACCCACCGCTCGAACTTTTTACCATCAATTTACGTGGTAATTGTGAATATAGCGCGCCCAATCCGGCAGCCATAATAGTTGCAAAGTCACTTTCAAGAATAAATTCACCTAATTGCTCGTCTTTGAGCTCAATAATAAAAAGCAAGCCACATCTAGCAAGTTCACCGCTTTTGCCTTCTCTATGAAGAAAATGAAGCAGATATGAAAATAGTAAAAACTTGTATTCTCGCTTTTCTGGTTCTTTAGTGAACTCTGTTGTTTTTGCAGAGGTCGATGTCATTGTACCATTTGCAGATGCGGGACCATCGTCTAAATTTCCGTCTTGACTACTATTTGATGAGAAACTTGCGGTATTTTCTGATTCTTTTTTTGGATAAGCTTTTTGTGGTGTCGTAAGCCAATGAGTATCATGAAAGAAAATATTCAAAAGTTCGGGAAACTCATGAATTTTGGAGCATATAATATACATTAAATCAACAAGATCCTCATCATATTTTTCATATTTTTCTTGCAAAAGAGAAACATTCGGCTGATGAACGGTATTATGAACTAAGAACCGATCATCCAATAAATTAATCATAAGGGAGACAGTCGGTTGATGAACGGCATTATGGACTAAAAACCGATCATCCAATAAATTAATCATAGAACCAATAGTCCGGATAATTTCGCCACAAATTCCCTTTGGAACATCGTTAGTAGCAAGGTTAACCAATTTTTCGAGAATTTTGCTTTTCAAAAATTCTTCTCTGCAGAGACCTGTATTCACGTCCTCGAGTCGCAAACCTTCATCAACCAGAATATTCACCATTTCTTTGAGATGTAATGGAATGTCGGTTTGTTTCACGTCATCGGGAAGCTGTTTTTTTTTTTCCTCGTTATCAAATTGTGACTATTAATGACAATAGCCACGAGTTAACATTTCGCCTCGAGACTTGACAGAAGTCTGTCATGCTGTTTTGAACAAATCAGCACCAAAATAACTCGAACAACTCACTTCGATATAGTTCCATGATTCACGAAACTTTGCTAACTGCTCGGCATCAGTAGGTTGCGCTCTATTAGGTGTTATCTTTTTTATCTTATTTTTTAAATTTACGAAGTAATCCATATCGTATCTGTTGTGTTTTAATAAAAGAGTGGCAGAACGTCTAAAAAGATTGAGCTATCAGTTGCAAGAAAACTCTAAGCTTGTATTTCTGCATGACAATGATGCAGATTATAAAATAAGCCATAGTGGTAGTAGGGTACACAGACATTGTAATGTGATTACAAGTTGTAACTAACGTGATAATTTCGAACTAAGCCGATTTCTTAACTGGTTTAAACCTCAACAATTCTTGCAACTTGGATCATAAAATGAGTGATGGGTATCAACCAGTTGCTATATGAGACCTTTATGCAAGTTTTATTAACATAAAAATAACAAAATCCGTCCTCATAAATTTATTAATGATAATTTTTTCTCTAATTATTTATGAAAAAAAAAAACCAGTTTCTTTTTAGTTTAATGATTAATCTAGAACAAGCTTTCAAACTAAATACTATTTTCATTATTATTATACATCTTTATTATTCTTCAGTTGCTTGTAATATTTTGCTGATGATTTTCGTTTTTCTTCAATTAAAGATTTTGCTCGTCATTATTTAAATTGGTTTGAGAATTATGAGTCAATGGATGTGTTGATAATGTGAATAGAGAAGAAGAATCATCGAAATAATTTTTTACTTTGGTTTGAGTTTCTTTTTGTTTTTTTGGCTGTTTTTGAAGGTATCGCCTGTGAAAATATTAAATTTGAAATGGGATGAATAAAAATTGACATTTCGAATAAAATTTCCATACAACCCATAAATTTTTGGAGGAATTGTTATCTCTGCCGATTTAAATTAACACTATTGAATACAAAATAAAATATATACATACTCTCTAGCTTGTAAAATCATTGCATCTTTCTTCCTTTGCAATAATTCTTGTCTTTTTTCGGGAGTAGCTTCCCATGTTTTGGGTGGCTCTGATGGAACAATGCCTTTTTTAACTGCATCTTGTAGCTTATATCTATCCACAAGTGATTGATGTGTTACAGATACATTTATCCCGCTCGTTGTTGATGAAGAGGCATGAGACGTTGAAGGAACTGCAAATGGTGAAGCAACAGTAGGAGGTGGCTTTTGTTAAATATATGGACAATTGAAAAATGTAAGTATAGGTTTAATTTTAATATACAACATAAATAATTCTTTTTTTTGGAATCAAAGTTACCAATGGGAGACTACCGTGTTGAAGAATATTGTCACAGGTAACTTCAACAGAGCCTGTCTTTTGAAGATCGTATTGTACTGCGACTGGAGGAATGTTTGGAAACATCGCACATACCGTTGCGACCTGTAAAACATTACCAGGAATTAAATAGCAGAAAGACAAAACATTTAGTAGTTTGATCACGACAAATTAACAAACCATTTCAGGAGTTACAGGTCTTGGCCTAGTCCTGGGTGAGTCATTTGTCATAATGTTCCCCCTACGGTTCCTTGCTCCATGCTGTGGTGTGGATCCTAAAAATCGCATTTTAGTCGTTTAAAATATTAATGTTAAAACTAAAGAGTTGAAAAGAGCATTTGTACCTAAAAGCCACCGGAATACGCATACAATCACAACAATGGCAACCAAGATGCTAATCCCGTCGTTCATAGTCATGTAACGTAATTTGGTTTAGATTAGTAGAACGTGGTTTAATTATCGTTTTGCCGCTGAGTTTTGAAGGTTTAGCATAATTTTTGAGTATCGGTATAGTATATGTAGTATATGTGGAAATATGCACCTAAAGATTGTTGAAAGCCTTCTGATAGGTCACGTGATCAATTGTTCTACAAATATAAAATATCTCGGATTTATTACTTTTTTGAATCGAGTATTCTGTGAAAAGTTAAGAGATCAAACGATGGATCCGTACAGACCAGTTCATTATGGTAATGCTGCTATATTTTAATTTTAATTCAAATAAGGCTAATTATTATCCTTTTTATACGTTACCGATCTTTTTAATGCTTTTTTTTTTTTTTTTTCCTCTTTGATTGTGCGATTTACTTTCTATTATTTTAAAATTAGCTCCGTATCGACCATACGCGCCACAAAGTGGACCAACTTACGTACCTGCTTCTAGGCCGGGCTACTTACCTACCGTTCAGCCGGCTCGACCAAATTATCTAGGCCAGAGGCCGGGGTATGGACCTTTACCCATCGGCGGTGCTCAAGGTATAGTCGCGTCTGGCTCAGAAGTTGAAAAGCTAACTACACTTTTTATTGGGGGGATATCACCGGGAGTGACAGACGATTGGATGGAAAGGATCCTCAAGGTAAAAATTGGTATTTTACTTTTAGTGGACGAAAAATGCTACATGTTACTTTTTGTCAACAAGTTGACATAATTTTACCAAATCGATAAGACCCAAGGAAAGTAATTACTATTGAGGCACGATTTGGCAAAGGCAATTTCTTAAGAAAGTGGGCTATTAGAGGATCATTGACTTGAATAGGAGGTTTGGAACAGAAAACGATTTTTTTTTTTTTGTAGCCCAAAAAGAAATTTTGAGTTTCTTTTACGGCAGGATGCTAAATTATCTCTGTGTAGATAGCTTACGCAAATTGCCTTACAAAAATCAAAGAATAACTTTTAAGATTATTCTTTATTTATTAACTGATGTTTTGTTTTAAACTTTTTTCCATGTTTTACACCTGAAACATTTAAGACATGCGGCTCATTAAAATCTTGGAAACGTGTCAAAGACCAATCTGGAAACCCTAAGGGGTTTGGTTTCGCTGAATATTTAGATGCAGATAGTGTTCTTCGCGCATTGCGAGTGTTGGGAGGTGAAGGGCCTGGTGACGACAAAAAAGACAAAGGTGTTGTGCTACCCGCCTTAGAAGATGGGGCTGTGGGAAAAAAATTAATAGTGTGTTTTGTTTCAACTAAAAATTTCTTCCTATATGATGCATTAATGTATTAATTTTTTTATTTCGATCAATTTCAGGTTAAAGCAGACGAAACTACTAGAAAATATCTTGATCAATATGAGGCATCAAGACCAAGAACTGTGGTATTCATTTTATTTTTAATACCCTTTTTCATGTAAGATAAAAAAAAAAAAGAAATCTTAAATATATTTTAAAATCTTTTTAGCATGATACCGAACTCGATAAAAATGCTCTTTTATCTGTCATAACTGTCGTACAAAATATGACCAAGCCTCAGGAATCCAGGGACCATTTAATGCCTCATGATAATAGGTCTGGAATCCGAAAATCTCCAAATTCAGAACACATTGATCATATGGAGAAAGACGAAGACACTGATCTACCTGCTGATCTCCCCCCTGAACAAAAAGATTTAATATACCGAGAAATCGCGTTCTTTCGAGAGCGTGCGGCAGCAAGAGAAAGAGAACGACAAAAGGAAGAAGAAGAACGTGCAAATCGACGGGCTAGGATGGAACAAGCTAAAGAGCGATCTCATAGAAGAGAGAGCAGAGAACGGCAACAATACGGACATTATCATCAACCTGTCAATTTTGTTCCCGCCAGAGAATCTAGACGAGAGTCCTATGCCTTGGATGATGAGGATGAAGAGCAAAAACGTCAGGCAAAAAGGAAGACTGAGATGGAAATGGCTTTTAAAGAGGTATTCCATTATTATTTTTTTTAACTTAATTATTTTATATAACATTTATTCACTTCAATCTTCATAAAGCGGGAACGACGTTGGCAACATAGGGAAGAAACCATGGCAGCAAATCGTGAACGTGAATTAGAACGTGAAATAGATGCAAGAGAAAAGCAAATACGTGATCGTGAATTAATGGCAAGAAAATTAGCGGAGTGGGATGATGATATCGAAGCCGAAAGGGGACAAGAAGATTACTATCGAGATCGGTAAGTTCATTGTGTGCAATAATGCATATATTTGTTCGCATTAGTAAAGGTATTTATCGCACCTTTTATGCAGAAATCGATGGTGGTTCCATAGACAACAATTCCGAGCACGCGAAATGGCAATGGATGAACAAGATAAGCTTCGAGAACAACAAGAGATTGAGACAGAATTACGCCAGCAGGAATTGGAAAAGACGCTCGAAGAAGAGAAAAAACAGCGCTCTGAAATTACAGAGACTGAATTGAATGAAGAGAAAGAATTAGCACCTTTTACGACGAATGGATCTTCGCAAAGTGGTACAAATATCAAAGCAAAACTTACCTTAAATATTTCTTCAAAGCGGCGGGCTGCATTAATGACGTCAAATGAAGAGGAGGAAGAAGACGAGGAAGAACTTGACTCTAAAAGAAAACGTAGAGTGTTGGTTCCTTTAGAGTATAGTGATGATGATGATGATGAGAAGAGAACTGAAGATAGGAAAAGAAGAATTAAAGATTTAGTGGAAACTATTCCAACCGACAAAGAAGGTTTATGGAAATGGAATGTAAAGTGGGAAGAGCTAGATGAAGTGAGTGCGATCCAACATTTCTTTTTTTCTTACAGAACATTGACTCCTCACATAATTGTTATAATTACAAAACTAAAAACTTATGAAATAATCATTAGAATATTCTTAATAATAAGTTACGATCTTTTGTCAGTAAGAAGATAGTGGGGTATCTTGGAGTTCAAGAAGATGAATTAGTTTCTTTTGTAATGGATCACTTGCGCAATAATAAATCCGCAGCACAATTAACCAAAGAAATGGAAATGGTATATTATCGCATTTCTTCTTAAACATGATTAATATATTTGCTAACATTTATATTCAATAATTAGACATTAGACGAAGAATCGGAACTTTTCGTAATGAAGTTATGGCGTATGCTTATTTATGAAACCGAAAGCAAAGCCAGAAAATTATAATTACGTAACATTAGAATTTTGTAATTGTGCATGAATCTCACCGCAAATAACATCTAAATTTTATTTTGAATATTTGTATGTATAAAATATGTGCTATGATACGTATAATTGGCCGAGTTGAAATTGTATCAAATACTATTAAATAGAAGTTTACAATTTAAAGTATCATATGATCCTGTGAAGTTGTAAATCGTGTTACGTTTTAGTTTTCAGTCCATGTCACCTCCCTGCAAATCATGCATAAGTGCACACATACTTTATGGTAGTCAAAGACGGCTGTCCGCGACATATTATATACATACTTAAAAGATAAAAAATTCCTTCTTTTTTTTTTTTTTTTTTTTTTTTATACACAGGAAAGAATCACCTTTCTCTACATATTAATTATACTGAACAATGAGCGGCTGGGAAAGCTTATTTAATACCGCTGCTGTCGACTATAATAATGGAAACCTTAGAGTATGAATAGCTTTAGTGCTTTCTTTTTATTATACAGATCTCACACTTATAACCAATCTTCTGTACAATCAGGATTCATATAGTAATTATTTAAAAGCAGCTAATGCGCTGCTCTACAAGTTTGGTAATGAGGTCGCTTTTGCCAATAGAGGTATTTATCAAGATGGCAGGATCTGGTTTCTATTTTAGAATCGGGCGAATGTTAACGCGAATTTGTACGTTATTTAGAGACAGTAAAATCTAAACCAGTCAATAGCGTCCGATTTTTTCAACAGCTCAAATTTTGTGTACAAAGGCTTGAAGACATTCTTCAAAATAGAGCAATAAATGGAGTACCTCCAATCTCACAACTTTCAGCTATTTCTGATAACGCCGCTTTAAATCTTACAAACTCGCACCCGTTGCACCTACCGCTCGTTCCTTTCTCTCCACTTACTAGGCAATCTATTCAGCATGCTCATTCTCTTGCAGTTACAAGCCAGCGATTATCTGTTGCTAACCAAAAGCTCGCAGATAGTAGTAAAGATCCAGATGGTATTATTCGGAAATTAAAGGATGAAGTCCGCCAACAGCAAAGTAAACTTGATCAAGTCAATAATCAGATCCAATCAATTGCTGAAGTTACTTTACTTCATTGGGATGCTGAAGCAGTTTCGCTACAGTTAACCATAATTGATAGTTCATTATTTAATAAAGTAGATTTCAAAAAAGATTTTTCAGCAAAAGACAAAAGGAATTCCAAAGTGCAAGCCTGTATGGACTTCCACCGATACTTAACTAATAATTTTGCACACCAATTTATTTATGCAGATATGACTCGGACGTCCGTCAACTCTTCACGTGGAGCTCAACATCCACGAGAAAGTATTGTTCCTCATGCTGTCAGAATTGCCTATTATTTATTAAATGTTCATCGTAATTTTAATAGCTTTGCTGCTTTGATGAAAGCACTTACTTCTCCTGAAGTACGCAGGATAAGACGTTTATGGTCTAATCTTCCTGCACGTACCACTCAAATACTAAAAGATCTATCATCATATGTGAAGAAAGATAATGATTACAAAGCTTATAGAGACATGCTTGCACAAAAAATGGATTCTTTTCGTGGAGTTGGTCAAGGAACGATCGTCATTCCTTGGATGCAACCTCATTATGAAGAAATAAAAAGTATAAATCAATCTTATACAAGTGGAAAATCTGGGGATTCATCCGACATTATCCTCTCAGCACCCGGTGCACGGAAATTAGCATCTATATTCGCTCTTCTTGAGCAATGTAAAACTAACATAATGGCACATGATGATGAAGAGTGGAATGAATTACGAAAACATGTAACAACATCACAACGTCATAGAGATACAATCACCGTTGATGGTACAACAATTACAATACCTCCGACCCTTTCATGTTTAGGTTGTGGTGATTTAGGTTTGCATCATTGGCTTGTATCTAGAGTCTATTTAACTAAGCAACAATTAGTCGATGAGAGCATTGAGATCGAACCTTTAGGTGAGAATGAACAACTTCCGTGTGTAGAAAACGATGAAGAGGAAGAGGAGGAGGAAGAAGACAACGATCATGTCAGTGTGGGTCAATATGACATTGGAAGTGATGATGGTGACAACATGGAAATTGGTACCTCATCTAAGCATGTCTTTACAAGTAGTTCAACACCACCTCTTAACAAAGTTTCTGAGGATAATTCAGGAGAAGAAAGTAATGAAGCATTAGAATCCTTGGATACGCCATCTTCAATCAAGGATTTCGTTTATACTTCTAGCAATGAGCAAACTATTGATAACGGCGTGTCTACTTCTGTTGCACATGAAACTTCAAAACCAGTTGAAAATGGCAAACCTGTTGGGAAGCCTTTAGAAGAAACGCCATTCAATTTAGAACCAGTAAAGAATGATTCTACCACTGGTTTTTCAAATGGTAAAATTGAGGGACCATCTACTTTCGCTTCTAAAACTACCGCAATTCCTATTCCTCAAGTACAAAAAGAGATTCAGATTCAACCTATTTTGTCGCCTTCAACAAATCTAAACCCGAATGCACCTGTTTTTATTCCTAAACAACCAAGTGTAGGAGATAAAATAAGCATCAAACTGAAACAATTAGAGGGTATTAATAAAAACCGTGATTCTGGAAACGAATCATCTGTAAATAAGGATGAGAATGAAGATGAATTCGTATATCCTAAATCAGATGAAGATGAATTTGTTTATCCAGAACTTGGTTCGCCCAATGACGCTAAAGATGGTAAAGATAGTGATGATGACTCTTTTAAATATGATTCCGACGATGGTGATATGGTTTTTCCTCATGATATTACTGATGGCAAGAAAGACAATGTTGCGAAAAATGGTCTTAGTGGCGTTATGACTACTACTAACACTAAAGTCGGAAACACTGAAAATGGTAATGTTCCGCAAATCACGATCAAGTTGCAAGGCAATACCGTGACCAAAGTTAATTAATATTTTCTTTACATTCATTTTAATTATTATATATTTGTTTAAATACTTTGGGATTTGTGTATTATGGTATATATTCGTATATAGTATATTGTCGTGTTTTTTTGTTTTACACGACAAATTTTGACCTTATTTATATTTCATGTATCCAAATATATTGCATCTATTTATTAAACATTTAAGATGCTTGTTCTGAAATCTACAGTCCGAAAGCCTGATTACACGTGATAATGAAAATAGTGATGCGTGATAATAACCAGATATGCACTGTCAAGCTTCGTGTAACACTTGTGCATCATCTATACGTATAAAAATTCGTTACCCGTGATGAACTTAAGCTTCAAACCATTATGTCTTCCCCAGTTTATGTTGCAAGTTGCATTTTCTGTAGAATTGTAAATCGTGAAGTGCCATCAGCTCTCGTTTATGAAACCAAATATTCGTGAGTTTAATTATACTTTCAAACTTGTGTAAAACATAAAATTTACGGTTATCTTAACAATTTGCAGCTACGCCTTTTTGGATAGTGGCCCTTTATCGGAAGGGCATGCTGTACGTAATGTACAATTTGAGTAAAGTTATTGTTTATAAAATGTATCATTTGAATAATTGATCATATTAATTCCTTTAATCTATATTTTAACAGCTCGTAGTCCCAAAAAGTTCGTGTTGTTTAAACATATTTCTTATGTATATACTTTCTAACTATAAATCAATGTGGTTTAGGTCACGCTGAATTTCTAGATCAGCTTTCTGATGAATATCTGGCCGATTTACTTCCGGTTGCAAGGAAAGTAGCAATTGGAACTAAGGCTAAGAATTATAATATATTACAGGTAATAATAATAATCAGGGTTGGTAATGGTCAATTTTAATCTGACCAATCAAATTGGTCAAATTGTATGTGCGGTATATGTACAATTACATATGAGTGACGCCAAAGGAAAGCCAGACTTCAAACTTTATTTATTGTATTCAGCCTGGCGACGCACGTATGACAGGTAATTAAATTTATCGTTTGTGTGATATGATCATGTGAAATTTTTTGCTTTGATATTTTTGTCATAAAATGAGAAATTCAAATATCAAGACAAAAAATTTCACGTGCTAATATAACACAAACGATAACATCGATATTGGTCATACGGAAATAACAGAAAATTTTGTTCATCGGAGTTAATGCCATTTATGTGCTGCGTAGCAGCACATGGAAGTGACATTAACTCCGATGAAAAATGTCTTACTCTGATCATACGACCAATATCTTATACTTATTTACGCATCAGATACGCCTCTAATCAGACAAATAATAAATAATGTAAAATTCGCGAAGTTTGTTTTTACTTTGGCGGCACTCATATACACGTCACTCCGGTTATACTGACATCTGCTATGACAACATTTTTTAAAATTTTAATCCGATATACTTAATATGAATTGTCTCTGGTTAAACCGACGTTTGGATATATCGAACAATTTATTTATTTTTTTGAGGTGTCGATATAACCAGAATGACGGTGTATTTATATAATAAAATTATTTTTTAATGGACCTGACCTGACCAATTTGACCCAAACAGTTAGACCAGAGACCTTTAACCATTGACTAGCAGATTTATTGTCAGTCAAAAATTTGATCAATCCTGATAAATAATGTATGATGTTATCAAGAGAGATTACTATTAACAGTTAGTTTTCTTTTAAATTTTCAAAAGAATAATGGAAGCGAAGCACACCAGGTAATCTTTTGATAGAGCATCAAGCATTGAATTTTAACGATTTTAATTTTTATTCAATAACTCTACAGGCCGTGGGACACGTACACGTTCACGTAGTATGTTAATTTATATTTTGTATGGGGATTTTCTTTTCAAATTTCCATGCAATTTAATATTTTGTTTTCTTTGTTTATACAGATTCCGAAACCAAATAAAGAAGAAGGTTTGGGGATTGTATGGCCGGCTAAACAAGCAACTTTAGATGAACTAACCCCTATTGCTCAACAAATGATTAAAAATATTGAAGATAGCCAAAAGGAACATTCGGAGAAAATCTAGTTATTTACTTATGTGCTAGCAACGAAAATTTTCTAATAACACATAAATATATAATATAGTTGCGTAAACTGAATTTGTTGAAATTCAACGTAAAAATAAGCCAAGTTAGTGAAATTAAACATTTAGGGTTAGGACGTTAAAGTTAGAGGCGATAAAATAAATAGTCATCTTTTATGTGTAAAATTTCACTCCCGTCCTTTTTAATTAGTGCTTCAAGACGAGTTTAAACACCCATTTCTTGTATTTTCGTTTTTTTTCCTGTTTTCTTCACTTGCGCGCGTGTCGGCCAATCCGGGATAATTACTTTTTACGTTCTCCGATTGGCTAATTTCCTTTTTGGATTTGTATCGCTCGCAAATAGCGATATTGTGGCTAAAGTATTTCGAATTCTTATGATTTTTTGAAGCCTATTAATTAAATATAGGGAAATTCTATTTTGACCCGGGTCAAAATAACCTCCCCTAAAATTTAGAGTTAGTGCGGGCCAAAATTATGTTGATGTCGACCAGGGTTTTTTAATATAAAAACCCGGCCGACATTAACTGTCCGCACTAACCCTAAATGTTAGGAGGGGTTATTTTGACCCGGGTCAAAATAGAATTTTCTTTAAATATATTTTAAAAAGAAAGTTAGCAAAAGAACGTTATGTAATTTATCTTGTGTTAAAATTAATCAAAAATAATTACAATATTTAAGAAGTTTTATTAGAAGTAAATTTTATAAGAGATCAAAGGTAATTGAATTTGTTTTTTTTTTTTTTGGTATTAAGGTGACCTCTTTGGTCTTTTGACTTTTATTAATCACTTATTGGTATTGTGGTTCAATGAACTACTACAGGAGAGTGTACAATTAACTATATATATAACTTTTTTATATTATCTATTTAAGGAGTTTACCCAAAGGTTTCCTACCAATTGTCATATCTAACACTTCTGCTTGAATGTTCCACTTTAAACCTTTTGAACTTGTAATCTGTGTTAACATTACTGATTATCTCAGATGCTCAGATTATCATCTTCAATCTTAGGACTAATTTATCCTCAAAGTAAACCTCTTAGAGCTTTTTGTATTTATTTTTATAATTGACCTAGATATTGCTATAGCAGAACTAACATTTGTATTCAGGATTAATCATTAAACCATTATGCCTTTGTAAAGTTCACTTAGATCTTAACATTTACTTCATAGCATAATCTTAGTATCTTAGTACACTTTTGTCTTTTGTCCAGTTTTTTTACCAAATTTTCAATTCAGATAATTCATATAAAATTACAATCAGTCCATCAGTATATCAGGTCAACCTGATATCCTTTTCCTCTGGTTCATTCTAGCAGCCTGGTTGGTGGTATCTTCAAGACTTCCAACCTGAAGGTTCTTTTCCGTCTGGCTACTATGATCAGGTATTATGACCTTGGTATCCATTTCTCAAAATTAGCCTTTACAGTAGAGTCGTTGAAAATTCAGTCACTTCTCTATTTGGGTCTTCCTAAATGGACTTCTTGTTATCCAATTTCAACAAATTTACATGGCTACAAGGACTTATCTAGTGTTTGCACTATCTAATTTGTCAGTTTGCATTCTTTTGTATAATGCTATACTTACACAAATGTCTCATGACCTGTCAGTCATGCTGGTATGACTGCTATTACAAATATCCTAACCCAATCATTAGTAACAGTTGACATAATACGAATATTATATAGGTGATTATTCAAATTTTCGTCGTCAATAGGATTTGAACACCCAATCTATCACTTGGAGGGTTGACAACCTGATCACTTCACTAGATCGCCAAACCCCTTGTAATTGAATTTGTAATTATTATAAAAAAAGATTTTTTAATATTAAAATAAAAAATAAACAATATAAAACAAGTTTTAATATTTTTTAGAAAAAACAATAATGATTTAAAGTATTTTTTATAAAAGAATAGATTTGGGTTTTATAGCTTAGTTGTTAAACTTTTATTCTTTTATAAACAAAGTTAATTAATACTTTGAGTTTGACTAAAAGTAAATACTTTATAATCAAAAATTGAAGCCTATATTCAGATTCAAAACTTTGTGAAAGTTTAAATAAAGATACATATTAAATTCAAGAAATTTTCAAAAAAAAAACTAATATAACAAAGTGTAAACATTACTATAAGAAGAAATATAAAAAATGTTATTAATATTTATAAAAATAATTGTTTTACTTAATACAAAATTATTTTTGATATAAAAAATTCAAAATAGATATAATATAAAATCTATTTTCATTTTAGTAAAATTTATTTTTAAAGTAAATTAGTTTTAAAATTATATAATTAAAAAATTAAATTTGGTTTAATATTATAAAAATAATATTAAAACTTAAAACTTTAAACAAAAAATTTTATAAACAAATGTTAAATATAATAATTAATAGATAACTTGTAGACAAAATCTTTAAATAGACAATAACTAAAGTTGTATATATAACTAATTATAATACTAATAATATACAAAATATAATACTTTTTTTATTTTTTTTGATATTAAGATGAGATCTTGCTTATTTCTTTATTACTAATTTTAACTGTATATTTTAGTACAAAAGTATTAAAATAAATTAAGATTGTATATAATAAAATAAAAATTATATACAAAAATAAAAGCTTAGACTAGTTTATTTGTAACTTAAACTAATTAATACTTCTTTTTTAACTTAATAAAAATTAATAACAACATTTAATAAAAACTACAAAGATAAAAAAAATTAATTAAAATAAGATATTTGTTACCTATATTATATATATGACCTAAACTTTTAACAGTTTTGATAAAACTGAAGTCTGAAACACTAATTCGAAAATCATGCTGAAATTCAAAACCCTTGCTAAAATCTATAATTTAGCCAAAATTTATTTTTATAAATGAAAATCTGAAAGTGAATATTTTTTAAGTTATTAGTATGTTAAATTTAT